TCGCGGGTGGCCCACTGAGAGCGAACAGTGGGGTCAGCATCAGCAGCAGGGGCAGGAGAGGCGCCAGAGGTGAGGTCAAAGAGGGAAAGACCGTCCGCCCTATCGCACTGTAAGAACAGCTGCAGGTCGTCGACCCAGACCTCAAAGTCAATGGCTCGACCCTCAGCGTCAAAAGCGAGGACACTAGGGGTAGCCATGACGACGACAGTGTAGTAGTGCAAGCAGTAGGGGAAGGGCACGCAGTAACAGTGGTGCTGTGCTCACCAGGCAGGGCAGGTCGGGCGGCTCGGCAGTAGGGCGGCCCGGCAGCTGGGCGGCTCGGCGGCTCGGCTGCTGGGCGGCTCGGCTCCCGGGCGGCTCGGCGGCAGGGCGGCTCGACGGCAGGGCGGCTCGGCGGCAGGGCGGCTCGGCGGCTCGGCTCCCGGGCGGCTCGGCGGCAGGGCGGCTCGGCGGCAGGGCGGCTCGGCTCCCGGGCGGCTCGGCTGCAGGGCGGCTCGACGGCTGGGCGGCTCGGCTGCTCTGCTGCTGGGCGGCTCGGCTGCGCTGCTGCTGGGCGGCTCGGCCGCTGTAGAGGAGTGGCGGGGCCGCTGCAGAGAAGGGCGGCGGGGCCGCTTGATAGGGCGGCGGGGCCGCTGATGGGGCGGCGGGGCCGCGAGGAAGGGCGGCGGGGCCACTAGATAGGGCGGCGGGGCCGCGCGATGGGGCGGCGGGGCCGCGAGGAAGGGCGGCGGGGCCGCTAGGTAGGGCGGCGGGGCCTCGCGATGGGGCGGCGAGGCCGCGAGGTAGGGCGGCGGGGCCGCGCAATGGGGCGGCGAGGCCGCGAGTAAGGGCGGCGGGGCCGCTAGGTAGGGCGGCGGGGCCGCGCAATAGGGCGGCGAGGCCGCGAGGTAGGGCGGCGGGGCCGCTAGGTAGGGCGGCGGGGCCGCTAGGAGAGAGGCGGCGGGGCCGCGAAGACGGGCGGCGGGGCCGCTGAGACGAGTGGCGGGGTCGCAGTGAAGGGCCGCTAGGGCGGCTCGACGAAGTGAGGGCCCGGAGCGCGACTCGGGCTGAGCGCGCTTCGGGCAGGAAAAAAAATCGATGTGGTGGGCCCTAAGCACAGTTCCCAAGGGGGAACCTGCTCGATACCATGAGAAGATTTGAACAAGAATGAATGAACTATGAATGAAGTGAGTACATATAGGAAACCCTAATTGGGTTGTACCCCCTATGGGATACCCCACTATAGCCTACACAACAGCATAAGCTATATATATGTTCTGACAGCTTATACTTGCTAGGTTGTGTTCACTGTATTGTTTGCTTTCCTTTATATAACTCTGCATGTGAACTGGCCTTGCGGCCCTTTGCTTGTGCTCAGACTGCGTGGTGACTTTGTGATCCACCCTGAGCTTGCTTTGTCTTTCTTGACTGGTCTTGTGACCTCTTGCTCTCCCCCACTTTGCCTATCGGGGTGTGTCAAACTTATATATGCTATAGTCTGTTTAGGCTGTAGTGGGGAAGTTCTTAGAGGGTACAACACTTTTGTGTTTTATACTTGTACCCACCTTCTGCCTAGTTCATTCATTCCTCTCTCGTTATTCTCACAGTACCTACTGTGCCTCACTTACTTTCTTCTTGACTCTGCCTGTACTGTGCTCTTTATACATATACCTGCATGCTTACACTTGCTAGGTTGTGTTCACTGTATTGTTTGTTCTCCTTTATATAACTCTGCATGTGAACTGGCCTTGTGGCCATTTGCTTGTGCTCAGACTGCGTGGTGACTTTGTGATCCACCCTGAGCTTGCTTTGCCTTTCTTGACTGGTCTTGTGACCTCTTGTTCTCCCCCACTTTGCCTATGGGGGTGTGTCAAACTTATATTCTATAGTCTGTTTAGGCTGTAGTGGGGTAGCTCATAGAGGGTACAACACTTTTAGGTTTCCTATATGTACCCACCTGCTTTCTAGTTCAATCATTCATTCGCTCACATCGCGATACCCCATCCCCCACGCCGACGAACTGATAGATCAACTGCGAACAGCACGAGTCTTTTCGAAAATTGATTTACGAGGAGGTTACCATCAGATTAGGGTCCAACCGTCGGACTGTGGCAAGACAGCATTTAGGACTATGTACGGGTCATTCGAGTACACAGCGATGCCTTTCGGGCTGACCAACGCACCGGCGACTTCCCAGATGACCATGAACAAGGCGTTTAGACCACTCTTAGATAAATGTGTGATCATCTACCTTGACGACATCTTAGTCTACAGTCGGGATAAGCAGCAGCACTTAGCCGATTTAGAAGCAGTATTTACAGTTTTAGACAAACACAGACTACTGACCAAGGGTTCCAAGTGCGAGTTTTTTCAGGATAGGCTGGAGTTTTTAGGGCACGTTATTTCCGAGGCTGGCGTCGAAATCGACCCAAAGGAACTGGACACGGTAAAAGCATGGCACCCACCCACGAACAACACAGAGGTGCAAAGTTTTTTAGGGTTCGTTAATTACGTGCGTCGGTTCGTCCTCGACATGGCACGCTTAACTGCCCCACTAACGGATTTACTGCGGAAGGGGGTCACTTTTACGTGGGGGGAGAAAGAGCATGTTGCCTTCTCTACCCTGAAAAATGTTCTCTGCTCACCGCCCGTACTGCGCATCGCCGACCCACACCGCCCATTCGAAGTGGTTACCAACGCCAGCGACATCGCCATTGGAGCCGTACTGCTACAGGACTTCGGCAACGATTTACAGCCCATCGCATACGAATCACGAAAGTTGCATCCGCCCGAGAAGAATTACCCGATACACGATCGCGAAATCCTTGCGATCGTGCATGCGTTCAAAGTGTGGCGCTGTTACTTGACCGGCGCCGACGTGACAGTACGAACAGATCACAAATCTCTACAGTACCTCCGCGCGCAACCCCACCTCAACCCACGACAAATCCGCTAGCTCGACTACCTTGAGTCGAATTTTCACTACACGGTCACCTACAAAAAATGGGCATCGAACATCGCCGACGCATTAACCCGGCCCACAGCCCAAATTCACGCCATACTACTCGCCCAGACCAGCCCACTGTGAACAGGCCTATTTACCCACGGCTATCAGACTGACCCATTTTTTACAGGCGAAAACTCGCTGCAATTTGCAGCAGCAAGGGGATTCTATTACGTAAAAGCCGGCACCGATCGCATCTGGGTACCGGGCTACACACTTCTACGGGAATTACTGTTGCAGGAGGCACACGACGGAGTCACCTCATGACATTTCGGAGTAGAAAAAACATGGCAGCAGCTGCAGCGGTACTACTACTGGCTCGAAATGTTGACCGACGTGCAACGACACGTGGCATCGTGTCCCACCTGCCAAGTCATGAAATCATCACGGAAGCGGCCGGCAGGACAATTGCAGCCGATACCACCCCCAGAGCGTGCTTTGCAGCAGGTGACGATGGACTTCGTCACGGGGTTACCGGCGGGTGCAAGTGGGAATGACGCGATCCTGGTCGTCGTCGATCGATTGACGAAAATGGCACACTTCGCAGCCTGCAAGAAATCAATCACAGCCGAAGAAACGGCCCGCCTCTTCATCGCAACCATTGTTCGATTACACGGGATACCAGCAGCAATCATCAGCGATCGTGATATGAAATTCACCAGCAATTTCTGGCGGAACCTGTGGCAGCAGTTCGGCACGAGACTACAGTTTAGTTCTTCGTACCACCCCGAGACCGACGGACAGACAGAACGGACAAACCAGACCATTGAACAATTAATCCGAGCCACGTGCGACGACCCCACCACCTGGGAACAGCAACTGCCACTCATCGAATTCGCGTACAACAACTCACCATCCGCCACGATCCAGCAGACACAATTTTCCCTGAACCACGGACAAGACTCGACAGTACCCATGACCCCGAATCTCGACAACCCAGTACCACGTGCGCAACAATTCGCAGAAATATTACAGGCAGCACGAACCAGGGCAGCAGAAGCAACAAAAAAAACCAACGTCATCGCTAAGCGCAACGCCGACCGCCACCGCAGACCCGTCACTTACCAACCCGACGACTTATTCCTACTCGACACCCAAAACCTCCGCCTGCCCATAACCCCGAAACTCCGCCCCCGATATTGTGGGCCATTTCGCATCAGCCACATGATCACGCCTGTCACCGCCCACCTCCTCCTCCCCGCTGACTGATACGTCAGCCCGTCTTTCCACGTCAGCCTGCTCCGCCCCTACATTCCATCCACCAGCCAACTAGCCCGAAATCCCCCAGCCAGCATGACACGACCACAGGCAAAACCAGTCATCACGCCCGAGAAGATTCTGAGCCACCGAGTTCGCGACCCACGAGGAGCACGAAGGGTCGAATTTCTGATCCGCTGGAGAGATCACACGCCCACCGAGGACAGTTGGGCCCCCCTGGGCAACATCGAAAACCACCCCGTCCTAACCGAGTACCTGCGCAGCCGGAATTTCCGAGATATACACGTGCTCTCGTAAGAGAGGCCTCCTTGGGGGGGGGGGGGGGATAGTGTAAGGAAAATCACTTTTCCTTACTTCGCGTCCCTGCCCAGCGCGTACACCACTGTTCCCGCCAACAGCACCCCACAACATTCCGTTACCACTCGCGACACTCGCCTCGACACCATTCCCGCCACTGTTCACGATGCGACCCAACCTCACGGTTCGGTTGGTAACCCGCGCTCCGGACCTCCGCCTCGACAGTTCCCAACCTCGGCACCAGGCCCGTCGCCAGGCCTCTGGATAGGTTTGGAAGCACTCTTAGTCGAAAGGGCAGGTTGCCAAAGCTGGTCTTTCAGTAAGGGTGGGGCAGCCATGTCAGTCTTGTGTATCAGTGTTGGCTGCATTGTTACTCGTGCTCGTCAGTGTACTGTGGACCTCGGTTAGTTGTACCATTTTTTTTTAACCAGCGCTTAATGTTTAGGTTGACATGACGTGCAAAGAACAATAAAATATATGACTAGAACTAGAACAACACGACCTACATATGGGATGGTCTGGCCTGGTCCGGTTCCAGCAGAATACTCCTAGCAGGGAGCAGAGCAGCACAAGTCAATACCGAAACTCCTGGGCAGGACGGCGCTTCTTCCTAGCATTGAACACGGCTACCACATTCACCCAGTTCAGACCATCACTGGGCAGGAGAGCTGCAGTCATCAGATCGCCCAGTTTGGCGTCGCCCAGGCAGGTCCGCTTCCACGTCTTGATACGGTTCTGGCGACTGAAGCCACGCTCGCACTCCACCGTGCTGAGGGGGAGCACAGCTACGGCCTGCCACAGCTGCACAAGGTTCGGGTACGCTCCCATGTAGTCAGTTGACTGGAGCATGAGCGAGAGCGACTTGTGGAAGCTCATGTTCCCGTGGTTGGTATCCATGGTGTGGAGAAACAATGGTAGCTCCCTCTCGCACGCCTTGAAGCACACACCTGCCAGGATGGGAGAGCAGAGCAGTGAGAGGGGCGATCGGGGCGTATAGGAGGTGTTTAACAGCACACCAAGGTACACACACACACACAGCAGACAGCACATTGCAGGCATAACCAGGTGGCGTACCAAAGAGGCGGTGGTGAAACATGTGGTCTAGCATGCCCAACCACTCGCGGCACTTCTTCATCCGCTGCGCGTTGTCGTCGGGATAGCACGATGGCCGGAAAAGCTTGGAGCCGGCCAGGTTCTTGAGGTCTTCCAGGCGGAACTCCAGTCGCGCAACGCAGACCCTCGCAAACTCCTGGCACACCGCCTTGCAGGAGTAGTAGTCCCCGCCAGTCTTATGGCCTGGGATCTTGCGCTCGTGAAGCACGAACTCGTGCTCTGCAGCTTCGCCGTTCTGGTCCATGCCTTTGACAGTGACTTCGCGGTGCTCGGGGTTGCCGTGTTTCTTCAGGAACGCGCAGAGCAGGGGTGACTGATCGTTGCCAAAACGATCCTCGCAGTCCACGTAACGCACATCGATCGTCCGGCAAGCGAGTGACACCTCCCCCGCGACCACAGTGATGTCAACCTGTGAGTGGGCGTGGGATGAATAGTTGCTGCCAGAGGTTGATGTACAATGGGTCAGAACGGCGCACAACAACCGGGAACATGGCAGTGAAACAAACGCCTATGTGTACAACCAAAGCACTCCACATGTCACCTGCTGCTTCTGGAACTTGGCGTTGAGCTCGTTGAGCACGGCAAGAATGTCTGCAAGGAAGAAAAGCATGAAGTGGAATTTGAAAGAGGTGACCGTTTCGTATAGCGCGTGCTTGAAATCGTGCAGCAGGACGATTGTCGCCGGCAGAACCTTGGCGAACCGCTTGACTGCCTCTCCTCTAGAGAGCCATCGCACGTCGTGGATCCCCTGCAGCTCCAGGTTGGTTTCGCAGATGTACTCCTGAAGGTGCTCGAATCGCCGGTGCCAGTTGCTCGACCTAGAAAGCTGCTCTGCCACGTTGCGCACCGCTTGGTCTATGATGTTGAACTCCGTCACCTTCTCAGCGGCATCCTTCGCGGCCAACGCCTCCCTGCTCAAGGTAGAACGCAGGATGCCTGAGATTGAAGTGAGTGGGCAGTACATGATCAACACACACCTGCCATAAAGCCAGTAACAATGACGGACTTACCGATGTGCGATGCAGTGGCACGACACGAGATAGGGATTCCGCTGCCGGAGTCGTGCCACAACACCATTGCTGGTGCCCGTCATTACTCTGGCGCCGTCGGTGCTGATTCCAACAATCTTGGACAAGTCAATGCCCACAGCGTCAAGGTGGGTCAGTAGCACGTCGACTAGACTTGCCGCGTCACACTTGTCAACTGTCAGCAGCGTGAGGAACTCGCAGACGCTCGCTCCCTCCTTCATGAAGTGGACGTAGACGATCATGTGCTTGCCGCGCGCCTTGTCAGTACTCTCATCGAGCTGAATGGAGATGTACGGGCTTGCCTCGATCTGCTTCAGTTGCTCTTGCCGCATGTACTTCGCTGCAGCATCTAGCAGCTCCCCGAAATCGTACCTGCATGATACAAGCACAGAGGTTAGCACGTGATCAATCAAGGCAGTTGTAACGGAACAAGTACAACGACACCAAGTACCCCGAAACTTACTCCGAAAAGTAGTTTCCCTTGGAATCCAAGGGAAGGTTCGGGACTCCGAGCTCATCCATGAACTTGATGGTGCCCACGTAGGAGGTGATTGGCGCCTCCGACTTGCAGATGGATACGGTAGTCTTGAGAGCGGTGATGATGTGAAGAGTGCTGCGATCCAACCCCTCGAACTGGCTCAGCAGCGTTTGACGAAGCTTCCGGCTCTCCTTCGACTTCATCTCGGCGTGTGCGTCCTGGTGTGCGGTGGAGCGCTGGTGCGTCCGGATGCTCCCCTTCTGCATGTCACGCCCTCCACTGCCTCCCTTGCCGTAAGCCGTTTTCGCGCCTTCAGCTCCATGTTCCAAGCACGTGCTGCATCTCAAAATGGGGAAGCCAACGTCATCACGAGTTAAAATTAGCCACGGAAACAAAGACTCCCATGAAGTCTTAAATCGCTTATGCGCTTTAGCGAAAGCGATCTCGGGGTAACGGGCCATCTCTTCGACAGTCGACAAGCCGTCTTCTTCCTCCTCGTCATCACTTCCCTCGTCCTCCACTCGTCGAATTGGACGTGCCGCCCGCTTCACAGAGGGCTTCGGTTGTCGCCACCACTGCTTAGCACTGTCACCGCTTGACTCTTTGCGCTTCTTGTTCGCAGAGTCGCCAGCCGCATCGCCTATCTCCGTTTCAGGAGCCGTCGCTTCTGGAGGTGAGGGTTCCGCCGTGGTAGTGCAAACTTCAGGTGAGCGCAGGTCACGCCCTGATTCATCCGCGCGGGTTTCGTCCTCGGTTGAAGCAACTACGGGCTCCGGATCCGACAGCTTCTTAGCGGGGGTTCGTAGAAAGCTGAGGCCCGTTCGCAGGGGTGATTTTTGGAGTTCACGGCGTGCCTCGTCGTCACCATCGGTGGTTTCGTCAGCAGCCATGGCGAGGGCCAGAGGGGTGGTTGCAGGAGCTGGGCCTACGCTAGCTATTGGGAGAGCGTGGTGGTGGGGTGGTGTGCAAACCCTAGACCAGACGAGATAGTGAGGAGGCAGAATTGAGAAATGAGACGAGGAGGACTGGGTTGGGTGCGTGGGAGAGACTGGTCGGTGGGTGGGGGCCTGCTGGGGAGGGAAGAAGAAGCTTCCATGCTGGACACACCTCCTGCACGAAGCAGGTGTGTGTGGCGCTGCGCGGCATTGCCAGCTGGGAAGATTGCAGGTGAGCCAGGTACAGTTGACGAGCCTGTGGCAGTGGCGACGCGAGCCGTCAAGGCGACGCGCACATCTGCTGACTCAGGCAAAACGCCGCTAATCACGGCAGAATCTCGTCAGTACCCCCCCGCCCCCCCACCCCGCCGCGTGAAATCGCATCAGGGTGGTACGCGACACTAGTCTTTGTCATCAGGGCGAGTACACCAGGCCTGTCTTAAAAATCAGTGTTAACAAAATGAACACTTTTTCGGCTAAGGGTGCCTCATAAAACAAGTTTTAAAAACAAGGGTGATCACCTAAACCCACTCTTATAGTAAGGGCCATAAGGGTGTTTTACCCTGATATCGAGAGGCCTGCCCGTCGCGCACCCCAATTTCCCACGTTACCGTTACCACCGTAGCTTCGCTATACATTCTTCGCTCAAACCTTTCGCTCATTGTATTCTTGTCTCGATAGTGCAATCCTCGCTCGCTCGCTCAATTGCACTCGTAACGCAGTACATGTCACAGGAAACTCGTACATGTCACCATGCTCACAAGTTCTAATTGAATCAATATGGTAATCTTGAACCCACACATCGCTGTAGTGGAGGTTGTGTGATCTCTGAATCCAGCTTCTTTGCAGAAGGGCAAGCCTGTCACCTTCAACCATATCCAGATGCAAAGCCTTCTGGTTTTTGTGTGGACCATTATTTAAACTTCTCAAGACCACAATACTGCAAGAAAATGGTCACTAATACTGGAGCCACATTGGACAGAAAAATCGCATCTTTAACACTTGACCTCCTTCAAACCATCCTTGAAATAGATGAAGGTGGGGTTGGCAGCACCATCCTTGTAGTAAGCATAGGCGATTGAACCTTCCGAGTTCATGCTGTCACCAACGAAGCTGCAAAGGACAAATAAGCAATGCATTAGAGAGTGGAGGGGAATAAGTCAAGAGGCCACGATAAGGGGAAATGGTGAGGGGAAAGAGGGAAAAGGGAAGAGACGAGGAAGTCAGAGAAGTTTCAGAGTGAAAACGTACAACTGCAGGTCAGCGAGCTTGGACATGAGCCACTTGCACGCAGCGGGCGAGTTCGCCCTGAACTGCGCTACCCTGTCAGCCGGCATCAGGCCGGCGAGCTTCTGGGCGTAAACCTTCAGGTAAGCCGCGAACGCCTTCTTGTCGAACGGTGGTTGCTCCTGCAGTTGAGAAAGCATCGAGGTGCGGATGCAACGGATGGGGTCAGCTACCAAATGTTTGAATTGACGAAGTGACGATGTCAAGTACGCGACAGCTTAACCGTGATGGAGTAACCCTCAATGATTAACCCTAAATCCGTTGAATTGTCAACTGGTCCTGTTGACGTGCCTGTAGTCTGAAGGTGTCGACAATATCCACAACCTTCTCGGCCTGATCCTCCACAGCCTCCTCCTCGCCACCCTCAGCAGAGGGGTTGGCTCCGATGTCCACCTCAATACCTCCCTTCACCACCCACTGCACAATCATCCAGACAACGACAACAAGTTAGCGACACGCGTCCGGTGGGTGCTGTCAATTCAATGTGTGACAATCAAGCAAGTTGAGTTTTGAGTCAACTCAAACGACGACAACGAGTTACACGCGTCCAGTGGGTGCTGTAAAAGAGCATAAATTTTATTCAGATCGCACCTTCCCCTCGACTTCATAAAAGATGCCATTTTGGATCTCCGTGGCCTCAAAAGAATCGGACAGCAGCTCGTCACCTAATAATTCGGCGCATTACACATTGAGGAAAACCGAATCGTCAGATCATGAAAAAACCCGCATATCTATGGAAACCCGACAACCGACATAAGAGACGTACCAGTGATCAGATCCTGATAGACCAACATGGCTGCTGACGGAAGTGCGAGTAAAGAAGGTGGGTTCTAAGGAAGACGGAAGGTGCTAGGTGCTGAAAGCCCTAAGCCGCTGCAGGCAGAGAGTGTGAAGGGTGGGTAATATGGCGGTTGGGCCTATATCAACCCTAGGCGAGCAATGCCAGACCAGACACAGAAATGGCCGAGCTGAACAATTGGCCAGCAGGGAAAGCATATTCCTGTTACACGGTTGGACAGTGTAATGTCTACAGCAAAAGTACAGTCTACCTTATGATGTGCAAATAGAATGAGGTGAATGCATGTGTAACTTGCTGCGATCAGAAGATGATCGACCCTAGGATCACCTCAGGAAAGTTCCACACAGTTGATTGGTAGTGGTGGGCCCTTGACCTCAAAATAGAGTGAATGTAAAATGTTTGAGATGATAAAAACAAGCAAGTAGAGGCATATAAGTATGAGTACAGTTGGAATACGAATCGACCTAGCTAGCCATGTACTCCAAGGGGTACATTCCCTTATTCAAACGCAAACCCAACCGTGCAGTGCGTACAGTTACAAAACTGTTCCCACCAATTCCTCGCTCTCTGCAGCTGCCTGATGCCGTCTGCTCCGACGGTCCAGATCCATTCCAACTATCTGCGTTGCTTCGAGTCAACTCTGACTCTTCGTGATCGTCCTCGATACTGTGTGTTTCACTGCTGCTGTTAGGAGTGCACAATTCTCATTTCATTATTCGTAACACCCCCCTTCACTCCTGGCCGTAGCTCGACTTGACCTGCTTGACTACTCCGCTGAGTTCGAAGCAGTGCTGGTGCTGCTGACGTGGCAGTCGCTTCGTCAAGAAGTCAGCTGCCATGTCTCCTGTCGTGCAGTAGGTAAAGTCCACCTTCCCTTTATCCACTTCGTCTTTGACGAAGAAGTACCGCAGCGCGATGTGCTTGGTGCGGTTGACAAATCCAGGTTTGTTCGCGATGCAGATTGCGCTTTGGTTGTCGTAGTGCAGGCGAAAGGTTTGCGAAACTGGGATTTGCGCCTCTTGCAGGAGTTCCTGCGAATAGAGACATTCGCGAACTGCTGCTGTTGCGGCGATGAATTCAGCTTCGGCCGATGACAGGGCAACCAGCTCCTGCTTCTGCGAGTTCCATGAAATTGGTCCTGTTGGCTTGAGGCGAAACAAGAAACCAGTTCTGTACCGTCGATTGTCGGGGTCTGCTGCGTGATCAGTGCTCACGTAGCCGATGAGGTTGAAGGATGAGGTTGGTACTGTTTAGTAGCAGAGCCCAATTTTGGGCATGGAAATGAAGAACTGTAGGGCGCACTGCAGATCCAGAAGGTTCTCAGCCGTTGGTTTGCGAGAGTACTGAGCCAGTTGGCTCGCGATGTAGGAAAGATCGGGCCTGCAGGTGACAGAGGCGAAGAGCAGACATCCTAGCTGCTGCTGGTAATTCTGGATTCCAGCAGGGGATAGGGCTTGGTTGTCGGGTTTGTGGTTCGGTCCGGGAGTGCGGTAAGGAGTGGAGAGCGGTGTAGGCGGAATGTTGAAGTGTTTTCCAAGCTCTTCTGCGTACTTAGTTGCTAAGAGGTGAATGGCTTCTGGCGAGTAGGAGACATTGAGTCCTAAAAACTGCTTCACGTCGTAGTTGCAGGTTATGTCGACGCGCCTGTCAGAATGTTATGTTTCTCTAGTCTGCAATGGGGTACTCTATAGTGAGTACAGTCCTGTTAGGGTTTGCTATATGTATCCCAATGTTTGCTAGTGAATCCCCTCTTCTCTATTTCATTCATTCGGTCAATATTCTAACATGGAATCAGAGCAGGTCGACCCTCCCGGGTCGATCCTGTGCATGGGCCCAACGTTAGCTTCCGCTGCTGTCCTGCCTATCGCGCGCCTCGGGCACGCGCCGAGAGCGCACGGCATTTTTTTCTTCCTGCCGCGCGCTCGGGGCGCGCGGCGGTTTTCTGTCTGTCGAGCCGCCCTACAGGCCGCGCGACGCCCTGCTCTGCCCGTCGTGCGCCCCGTGGCGCGCGTCGGTGCTCTGCCCGTCGCGCGCCCCGAGGCGTGCGACGGCTTAGTCGTCCGTCGCGGCGCCCCGGGGGCCCACGCGCGTCGCCCCCCTCCCGTCGCCTGTCGTGGCGCCCTCGGGGGCCCGCGCGCGGCCCCCTCCTGTCGCCTGTCGTGGCGCCATCAGGGGCCCGCACGCGGCCCCCTCCCGTCGCCCATCGTGGCGCCCTCGGGGGCCCGCGCGCGGCCCCCTCCTGACGCCCGTCGTGGCGCCCTCGGGGGCCCGCGCGGCCCCCACCCCTGGCGCCCGTCAAGGCGCCCTCGGGGGGTCCGCGCGCTACCCCTCATGCAGCCCGCGAGCCGCCCCTGCAACCCCCGTACCGCCCCTGTGTCCCGCTCCCGCCCCGTGCTGCCTGTTTTAAGGTTTGGGGGTGGCGCGTATGGGGGTGATGGGTGTGTGCGGCCTCCCCTGCTCCTCCTCCCCCTCCGTCTCACACTGCTGCAGCTGCCGCTGAAGGGGGTGGATATGTTGGAGCCGTCGGAGTGGTACTAAGGGGGTGGCGTGTGAGCAGTGCTAGAGGTGCAGCAGGGGGTGTGTGAAAGGGGGGTGGGACAGTTTGGGGAGGTTGGGCGGAGGCAGCCGTTGTGTCGCCAGCAGCGCCAGTAGTCCAAAGGCTACAATCTCCGGTAGCCCAGCGAGCCTGTTGCGCCAGTCGCCCGTGGGTCCGTTGCTCCTGCCGCTCAGAGTTAGCCGCGGAGCCAGTTACTCCAGTAGTCCGGAGGCTACAATCTCCGGTAGCCATAGTGTGCGCCGCTCCTGTTGCCTGTGTATCTGCAGCTTCACCCGTCGTCTCCTATCTCCACTCCTCTCACAGTCCCTCCTCCTCCTCACTTACCGTCTGTGACTGCCTCTAGCTTCGCTTATATTTGTGAACTATAAACTGCTGCTTGTTATGCTGATCATACCCCACTTTGACTATGGGGGTGTGTCAGAATGTTATGTTTCTCTAGTATGCAGTGGGGTACTCTATAGTGAGTACAGCCCTGTTAGGGTTTGCTATATGTATCCCAATGTTTGCTAGTGAATCCCCTCTTCTCTATTTCATTCATTCGGTCAATATTCTAACAGCGCCCGCCCAGGTTCCTCTCGAATTGCTCGAACAGTTCGTTGCTCGACCCTGTGTAGAGCAAATCGTTGACGTATATGGTGAGCAAAATGTAATCTCCGCAAAAATCGCGACGATACATTCCAGGGTCATGAGGCATCTGTTTGAAGCCTATCTCGAGCAAAATGTTGTGCAGGTACAGTTGCCAGAGCCTTGGCGCCTGCTTGATCCCGTAGTGACTTTCGTAGCTGACACACGCGCGAGTCTCCTTCGCCGTACGTGTGTGGCTTTGCCACGTAGATTACGCCATCTACTAACGCGTATAGAAACGCGTTCTTCACGTCGATTTGGCGCAGCGGCAGGTGCCTTGCGGCTGCGATGGCAAGCAGAATTCTCACGGAGGTGTGATGGCTAACTGGCGCAAATGTTTGATCGAATTCAATCCCGTGCCTCTGATCATAGCCACGCACCACCCAGCGTGCTTTAAACCGTTCGATCATACCGTCTGCCGCGGTCTTCACGCGAAAAACCCATTTGCCGGAGAGAATCCTTGCTCCTTTGTTTGCGGCGCAGTCGACGAGTACCCAAGTGTCGCGAGACTCGAGCGCCTTGATTTCCGCATCCATCGCCTCGCGCCATTCCTTGATGTGCGGTCCCGTGAGGGATTGGCGCGGATTTTTCGTCTCGATGACACGTGGCGCCGTTGAGGTGGCGGTGTGAAGCCAAGGAGCTGCAGTCTAGAGACGGTACTATCGTGGCGATGCTGCGGGATGACCTCCTGCACGTCATCGTCGTCACTCTCTGGTTCAGGTGGTGCTGGTGGTGCTGCGCCTCTTCCGCTTCCTCTTGCTCCGCCGACTCCTCCTCCAGGGAAATCGTCATCGTCATCATCGCTGCTGTGGTGATCGCCCCTTGTGAATTCGCCTTTGGTGTCTTGCTCCAGGATTGTTGCAGCGGCTTCGTCTTCAGGCGTTGCGTAGCTGTGCCCGTCATTGGCATAGACGCGGTTCGCATTCGTACGCTTGTCGTCGCGGAATTGCTCGAGGAAGAGCCGCTCGTAGAAGATGATGTCACGCGCGTGAGTGGTCTTCTGGCTCAGGAGGTCCAGGATGAGCCACGCCTTGTGTTCATGGCTAATGCCGAGGTGAATTCCCCAGCGCGCGCAGCTAGAAAACTTCCTGATAGTTGATGTTGGCGGCCGGTACTGCACCATGCACCCCCACACGCGGAGCATGGATGTGTCGCCGTTGGTCCCTGTCCATTTCACATGCGGGAACAGATTGCCAGTGATGGCGGTGGTTGACAGCAGGTTGTGCACTCGCACGGTATGGTGCATCGCGTGGGTCCAGTAGATTTGCGAAAGCTTCGATTGCTTCATCAACGCTCGCACCTTTGTCATGAGCGTGCGATTCGTGCGTTCAGCTATGCCTTGCTGCTAGTGCGCGTAGGGAAGGGAGATGTGATGTTCGATTCTTTTCTGCGCCAGGCAATCCTGCAACTCCTTGCTCCTGAAATCAGCTGCGCCGTTTGACTGCCTGA